GCTCCCTCTTTCTCTTTCTCTCGCACACACACTCTCTCACTCCATCTACTTTGCGGCCTTGGAGGGGAAGGAGGAAGCCGGGCGGAGCCGGGCGGGGGAGGTAGCGGTCCCGGGGAGGTGGCTCTCGCCCGACGAGCCGCCCCGAGTGCAGAAAGTACAGGTAAAAGTCGGCGCCGGACGTGCCGGGAATGCGGGGGGCCGCGGCGCGGCGGGGGGGTGCGGGCCGTGGGTGCGCGGCCCGGGCTGGGCTGGGGGCGCGGGAGCCCGAGGGGCGCCCAGGGGCAGCGGAGCCCGGCAGGGGCACGGCGAGGTCCTGGGGGTGGTCCGCGAAGGGGGCGCTGGGTGGGGGGTCGGGAGGTACCCACCGAGCCGCTCCCGGGGGGGCCCGGGCCCCTCCCCCTCCCCCCCACCTGCTGACCAGGTCGTGGGCTCTCGAGCCCTCCGGGCTGGGGCGTGGGGGCGGTCCTGCGGGTGTCACTCTCGCTAGGGGCGAAAGGGGGCGCTGCGGAGGGCCCCGGGTGGAAGGACGGAGAACATGGAAGTCGGAGGTGGGTGGTAGCACGTTGCCAGAGGACGTGGATGTGAGTGAGCCGGGCTGCCAGCCCTCTCCGCCACCCTCAGCGCATACCTGTTTCCCGGTCCACGCAGGTAGTGGCCAGCACTGGTTATTTTGAAAGGGTTTCCAAAGTGGTGAAGGAAGACATTAGTCTGGCATTTTTCAAACAATGGAGAAATACCCACGATCTCTGGGGAAGTAGGGCTCAGATAGCCCGGACCACAGCCGTTCCTGCTTTGGATCTGCACATAGTGGGCATAACAAGAACCACCACCATGCCCTGGGTGGATGTGCTCAAAGAGGTGTTGGAGCCAAAGAGAAAGATAAAGAAGCTAAGCCAGGGGCCATCCTCACTCAGAAGGCCTGCTGAGTCTCCAGAAACCAGCATCAGAGTTCAGCCTGCACCCGGACTCCGCTAAATACAAATCGTTAGCGCTAGCCCTGATGCACAAGGTCGGGGTAGAGTTAGCTTTTGGGGTGAGAGGCTGCGGGGATGACCCACAGTGAACTGTTCCTCCGGACCCTCATGGGCAGCCAGACTGAGAGGGGAGTGGAAAATAGGCAAGATAGCGTCTGGCCTCCTGTGTGGCCAGGTCTTTTGGGTGATTCTGGGCTCAGTGAGGCTCCGTCATGAATCACTCTCCAGCAGGCGGGCTCAGGTGGCCATCTTTGCACACCTTTAAAGAACAACACAAATTGCCGTCTCCTCCATTCTATGGCCTTCTTCACCCCTGTGCTGACAGAGAGGATGAAGTTGGTGAGAGACTTGGGCTTTGGCAGAGGCCCAGGCATGCGGACCACTCAAGTGTCTTGGTCTCCTTCAAGGTGGCAGAGCAGTTTCTGAAATCAGAAGTCACAACACAGTGAAATGGAAAGTTTGTGTTTCTTGAAGTATAACCAACATTACCGAGACAATGGCCCAAAGTATATGTGGTTCAAGGGTGAAACCCATCTTGTTTGGATCATGGAATTTTCCACCCTTTGAAACTGAGTCATCTTAGACCTCCTGACTTGCCCAAGTGACAAGTGGTATCACGGAGACATTAAGAGAACATCTTAGGAGCCATCAGTACTTCCTCATCTCAAGTTTGGAACTTACGAACCTTCTGGGGATAATTTCTTGTTTAATGTTCATGTGAAACTGCCCTACTTAACATTGGTAATTATGGTTGCCAGACGAGTCGGAAGATGGGAGTTTTTACAGCGGCCTTGAACTATCTTAGCACTTCAAGAGTTCTTAGTGAAGTTCAGTAAGCAGGACAATAATAATAATTACTTCTGTAATAGTAGGTAATTGTACTCGAAGTAAAATGGCTTTCCTTTGGCTCTTTGCATAATCATTACTAAAAGGGCTAAATTGCATTATGAGAACATAACCAATGTCAACATTTTTATAGCCTGGATCTAGATTATGTAACATACACTGAGAAATTTTATTTGTTGTTCAAATTTAACTTTCAAAAACAACTCAGAAGTGTTAAGTGTACATTAGCACATAGATTTCTAACTGTAAAATTGTTGTATGAATAAAAAATAGGATGGTGATTCAAGAAAAATTCTTGGAATATTCAGTACAATGATTGATCTTGAAAGAAAAAAGAAGGAAAGAGATCTTGTTCTAAATTCTTGTATTACCTTAATTAAATATACTTGTGTACATAAAATGGCTTCTCATAACTTTTAACCAATATTAACCAATATTTTGAGTGGGCTAAGAATGATTATGTTTGTAATTGATATATTTCACCTGTCTGTCTGCTGACATTATCTTTGACCCTTTATGGTGAAGATGTGATTTTGATTGTAGAGATTCTTCATCTTCTCTTTGGTGTTTCAGACAATTCAATTGTAAAGAATAAACCTTCTCCAGATAGCATTTAAAAAAGAAATAGTTGCTGATTTTAAAGACATCACAAAAATGAGAATTTTGTGGCTGTGCTGGTGCTCTTTAATCATAGTGAAGAAATACAGAATCAAGTTCGGGTTCCACAGTTTTGCATCTTAGATTGTCCTGCTTTGTTTCTCTGCTAGCAGAGCTCTCATCCTCTTCTGATGTGTGATAGCCATCGCCTGTATGAAGGTGATTTGAAATATTGATTGATGTCTTACAGTCACATATCTGCCTGGATATAAAATGAAATTCCTTTCCAGGTGCTCTAGTCTACTTCTGCTGAACGTGGGGGTCCTAAGTGACAGCCCATGAGCCAAGTGTAGGCCATGCATACACACTCGTGTGCATGCGTGTGTGTGTGTGTGTGTGCGTGCATGCCTTGCCTAAATGGTAGATAAGAAAAAAGGATTTGCTGGATCTCTAGTTTGTCGCTGTCCTCAGTGTTCCGTGCCACCACACACTCATTCTCCTTCAGTCCTACACGACTGATCTGGCTCTAGTAGGCACTACAGTTGCGATCTGGGGATTCTAGTCAATCATTTCTGAGGAGTTTGGGTGTCAGGAAGACATCATCAGGGGAATAAGGAACCCAGTTGTGTTGGCTTCTCTCTCTCTCTGGGTCCCTACTTCCTTGCACATTCAACTACTCATTGACTGCATCATTGAACAAAAACTGATTTAAGTGTATATAAAACACCCTGGGTGACCTTTGTTATTTTTATGTGGAGTGCTACCCTCTCTTTTCTTTTTCCTCCAGCTCCAAGTCAACCTGGTGGTGGTAAAACCATGTGTAGAGCAGCTCAGTTCTGTGTCTCTGGGAGTAAATGTATCTAGTCATTACCAGAAAGGCAGCCTGCTCTCCACTGGAAGGATTGAAAGGATTTGAGCCCCAACCATTTGACTTCCTTGATGTTACATTTGACGCCCCCTCCTCGTGGTTAGCTGAAATCTCCAAGAAGGGTCTCCACCTTGTTGGCAGAAATGTTCAGAGAGAATGCTGTGTGTCTGCAGAGGAGATCTGTAGTGGCCAAGGTCACACTTCCTGAGGTGGACCTGGCATTTCCTTGAGGGTCCACATTCAGTATATTTATACTTTTCAGAATTCTCTCTTAAAAGGATGAAATGTTTTCCAGGTGTGTGGTAGGTCTTTCTGGAGGTTGATATGCATCCTGCCCTCTCTATCCATAGAACTATAGATACATGTGTGATTATCTGTATGTTTGTATAATATGTAATAAAGTGCTTTCATCTCATTCCAAATAAAATAAAATAATAAAAGAATTGTAGTTGTGTTGAAAACAACTTAGTGTCCAGTGGACTGTGTTCTGTGAGCACCCCAGGCACCTCCACTCTGGCACTGTACTGTATATATATGTCCTCCAGAATCGGGGACTAAAAGTAACGGAGCTTGTGGAGAAAACAGTGTTGAAGCAGACTACTGAAAACCTGTAGAACTTGTAATTAGAATGCTAACAAAACCAAAAACAAACCTCATAAAAGGATAGATTGGTTCAGTTCCACTGGCTGGTAGTTTGCTTTTAGGAAGCCGATCCATTTTTTTTACAGGGTTTAGATTAAGTTTTCACTGCTTTCTCTCTGTAGATCATAAAAGCCATTTTCGTAAAAGTTAAATCTGGTCCAGGGCATAGCTTCTTCATGCATCAGTGTAGGAAGAACTATTTTCATAGCTTCTTCACCTGTTCTTACACTCTTACCGAGTAGGTTAACGCAGTGGAGGCCCAGAGGTTATTTGGCATCACTAACATGGCCTCTGCTCCCATGGAAGGAGGTCACTTGAACATCTTTCTAGCGCAGTCTTGGGTCTTCATGTGCTGCGAAGTCTTTCTCATTCCTTGTGAGAGTGCTTGCCAATGATTGCTTCAGAATATTACCAAGTTAGGAAAAGTTGAATCTGAACCAGCACAACTTTCTTGTCCACCTGGTATCATCTCTATTGACCAACCGAGGCTCAGGGAATTCCTGTCAGAGAAATGTGTGCTAGTGGGACAGACAGTCTGTAATACAGTGTGAGCTGGAATCTCAGAGACACATCGCTTCAGATATCAGGTGAGCTGGATTGCTTCTTTGGCACATACTAAGTAGCTGATAAATACAGGGTGGGTATATGATACTCCCACCGTTTGGAAGTTATTTCAAGTTATCCCCAGCAGGAACACATCAGCTTATTTTCAAGTAGACTTTTGTGTCAGGTCACTCCTTACTGCGGAAGATCATTTCCTCAGGAACTTTAACTGTCCTTGAAAGGAGTTGATCCTTGCAGCCTGATCCATTGCTAAGGAGCAGTCCTGGTAATTATAGGGTTTTGAGGTCATGAGTTTTGAGGCATGCATTTAGATGTCAGAGATCTTGAGTAGTGGATATGTGCACTTAGATTTCAAAAATACTGGTTCTTTTACCTCTGTTGGGTGGTAAAAAGAAGTCTGGGTTGGCTGAATTCATAGAACCATCATTCATTTGTTCCTTTCCTATTTATGAAATACCATATTGATAGAATACTGTATGTGCTTGGGACCAGGGAAATGATGATTGTACTTAATGAGTCCGTGATCTAGTGGCAGAAACAGTTAAGAAAACAGGCGGTTTGTAGTACGGCGGGGAAAGTGTTGCCACAGGGAAAAACGGAGCTCTCCAGACCTTGCTGAAGGGGATATGTTCTCCAGGCTCTGGTGGACAAGAGAACACTTCCCAGAGA